CCCCCCCCCGCCCACCGCTTCCAGCTATACTGGATGGCCGCTATATTGCATGGTGTCTCGTTATTCACCTCTCACCTCCTAAACTAGTTCATGCTCTCACATTAGGTGTAATCGCAGCTGGCAACGCTTTCTGGGGATGTCTCAAAAAGATCGGAGTTGAAAAAATATTGTGTCATTTTAATTTAAAGTAAAATTGTTGCCTCTTTCCCCACGCTTTCCTTTTTCTTGGCGAGCCCAGTGACCCCGGTGGTCCTCCAAACAGAGGCGGGGGTCGGAGCTGGGGTTCCCCCAAGGTAATTCTTTAGACAGCTATCAAAGTCTCAAAAGAAACAAAGGCTGAGAATCTGAAAGGTGTGGCAATTGGCGATTCCAAGACAGGTTTCCCCGCGTGGGCGAACGAGTACCCCAGGGGCAGGAGACCCTGTGGGCAGCGAGCCCGGAGATCCAAAGGAAGGTGTAGGCAGTCCGCGCCTGCAGGTCCCAGCGCTTGCGCCTGGCTGCAGCCAGCCGAACGTCCATTCTGGCTTGGCTGAGCACTCAGGTTCAAGGTCGCACGGGGGTGACCCGAGCGCCAGGTGCCCCGATGGCCAGCAACCCAACCCGCCTCTGCTTAGGGTCCGGAGCTGGCACTTCTGCTCTGGACACAACCGAGAGGTCCGTTCGCCCTTCTGCTTCCGCCTGGTTAACTGCAGACTTTCATCCCTCAGGTCTCCGCCTGCCGGCACCTCGGGCTGGAACGCGCCCTTTTCTCTTTCTCCGCAGCTCCCCTCTGCCTGCCACTTAGCAAAACTGCATTTTTACTTCCCTGTTTGAGATTACGTGTGTGTGTAAAGTTCTAAGTCAATAAGTGAGGCAAAAATTCTTGTAGGGTCATAATTACTCTTGAAAAAGCGCCCATACATAACAAGATTTGGTGTCTACACTCAACGTTGATGTGCAGGAACGTGTGGCTAAAACAAGTAGTAAAGGTGCACAATATATTGAAAAAATACGGATGCAATATATAATTGTAAGTGCAAAAGAGAAAACGGTATCAAATAAATGACATGCCTGCGTGCGACGCCACTGTACTAGTTACTGCCTAAAGAGTCACCAAGGCGGGCCTCGTCTGTTTTGATTCGCCACGGCATCCTCAGCGCCTGGCCCAGTGCCTGCGACTTCGTACACGTTCGAAGATCTATCCCGAAAAAATGGAAGGAAGGAAG